TTAAAGAGGCTCTGGTCCCACCTTGAAGGAAGATAGATGTGGCAGTTTTGCAAAGGATGTTGTTTACTGGTTAGTGGGTGTTAAACCACTTGGGTCCTCTGAACCGCAAACACCAGCCATAAGTCTGTAGAAACCACAAAGGGGCTCACCCTCTTTAAATAAAAGGGTCGGGTGTTTGGCTAGTCCACAAATTTGAACTGCATCAGTTTCCGCCCACTTCTGACATTCATTATGCTAATTGACAAGCCACTAATTTCACTAATGGAAACCCATTTCTGACTTTAATGATGCTAATTAGCAAAGCTTCAGGGGTCCTGGAGAGTTAAAAGGGAACTGAAATCCTGGAGGAAGCATCACCTATGGAGCCTGGGATTTCTGATTAGATCCTAGTTGACTACTCCTTGAGGGTCTGTCTATTCCTAGGATGCTTGTCTGTCCCAGAATGTAATTTAAACTAATTTCAGAAACACATAGCTGCCTTATAATGTCTCTACCCAAGTGTTTTAACCAGCGGTGAGCTATTCTGGGAAACCAGGAGGATGGCAGGTTCTCTGTACCATGGTATTAGGGCTCCACCTGGAGGGTGGCTGTGGCAGGCAGAGGATCTCCCACAGTCCCCTTGCCACCCTCATTTTTCTAAGCAGCACCCTAGTTTTTTCTTTGACCTTAGAAAACGCAATTTGGTGATTCTTTGATATCTTCCTCTTCTTTGCATTGGGGCAGTTTATATCAGAAAGGACTTTCCAGTCGATTTGATGAATGCATATTTTATCTGATTCTGGAGTCAGGGTCACTTTATCTGAAGCATGGGGAAAATTCTGGTCCTTATCTTCAAAGGGAGCAATAAGCATTGGTTGGTTTAAACAGGACATCATTTAATGATGCCCAGTCCAGACATGTGGGATTTCCAGTTCATTTGCGTTTACCTGGTGTAGTTTCTGGTGGCTTTGATCACATGGGGTCATCATGCGTGGAGGTAAATTCTTCCTGCTGAGAGTAGAACTTAAGAATTCGCTCTTGTTAGAATTGTTGCCTAACTTCACCAGAACTCAGGACCTCTGATGCATGACTGTGAATCAGTACAGCAGAGCTGTTTGCCTCATTAAGTACTTTACTGAGTAGGGCCTAGAGCCAGCGACTCTCAGAAGTAGTTGGAAATTGAGTATCAGGAAGAATTTTCTAAATTTATAGGAAGTACAGGCCTGGACCCCAGGTAACTCACAGGAAGGGAAACCCCTTTCCTGTTTATACCTTCCAGTGTTTAGATTAGAAGGAGGAGGAAAAAAGAATACTGAAAAAGAATCATCTCAAATTATAATGGGACACCAGAATTAGATTTTTGGGGGAGGGGATTACCAGGGATTGCACTCAGGGGCACTTGACCACTGAGCCACATCTCCAGCCCTATTTTATATTTTATTTAGAGACAGGGTCTCTAAATCAAATAGAAATAAAAGCCCTGCTTTTGCTGAGGCTGGCTTTGAACTTGCAATCCTCCTGCCTCAGCTTCCTGAGCCACTGAGATTACAGGCGTGTGCACCACCTAGGCTTACATTTTTAACCAGCAACCAGTATTTTTAATATCTTGGGTTGACAGATCACAGAACCTAACTTACTGGTTTTTTTGTTGATGTAATATTTATACATCTTCATGTGGTATATTTATGGTAATTCAACATGCATCAAATCAGAATCATATACACTTTCATCTTGGGGAATTTCATATACTTGTTATCATTTATGACTCAAATAAAGGCAATATTTTTTAATATTTATTTTTTAGTTGTAGTTGGACACAGTATCTTTATTTTATTTTTATGTGGTGCTAAGGTTGGAACCCAGGGCCTCGCACATGCTAGGTGAGCGCTCTACTGCTGAGCCACAATCCCAGCCCCAAAGGCAATATGTTTGACACTAAAAACACATACCACCAAATACTCTTCGAAGATTTAAAAAATTTATATCGGGAACAGTTGTTTCTAGTTCAAAAAGGATGTGTTGGAAAAGTCCATATAAGCTTTGAATTCTAAAAAGAAAAAGCTAACGTGTATCCGCTCATCCATTATGGACCACCTGAACTGTGAGGCCTTTGGGGGAAAAGGGACAGGGCTGACATGAAGCTCAAAAAGAGAGCTCAGGACATCCTGTGAAAATGGGCCCCCGGCACTGCCACCTCCGATCAGCAAGGAAACACAGAGAGGAAAGTTCTTCACTTTGTCTGACTCTAAGTCAACTCTAGAATAGGGTCTTGCTTCCTGGGAAGCTTGGGAAGTCCAATTTTTCTTAAGGGATCTCTCTTCTGAAGCTTATTGTTGCTATTAATTCCTTTGTGGCCCTGAAGAAGCAGCCTCCTTCCTGCATGTTGAATGAACGGACTCATGAATAAATGAACTAGAGAATTATTTGCCTTTTGTCCCTCCACATTTTCCTCCTTACCTTCCTCAACTATTCTGAAGTGTTTTGTGTTTCAGTAGAGCAGTGATTTTTTCAACCACATGTCAATCCCAGTAGCTTCCTGCTGTTTCCTAACCCCCACCTGCCAAAGCTGAAAGGGTAGAGGGAAAACTGCTTTCCCATGAATTCGTGGCCAGATGAAGCTGGAGTTAAGGGCAATGTGACCTGTGTGGCTCCTGGTTGGCCTGTTTGTTCCAGTAATAACTGTACACGGAACCGGTTCATGTTGGCCTAGATTGACTTGAAATTGAATGTCAGCCAGTATGTTTCAGGCATCCAGATTTTTTGTAATTCTTAATGACTTATGAGAAGTTACTGATATTTTTCTTACCAAAACATAGTTTAGCTCAGTGGTTTTATTTTATTTTTTTATATCTTTATTTATTTATTTTTTATGTGGTGCTAAGGAGCAAACCCAGTGGCTCACGTGTGCGAGGTTTAATTTTACTAAAAAAATTTTTTTTTCAGTACAAGGGATTGCATTCAAGGGTGCTCTATCAATGAGATACATTCCCAGCCCTTTTTATTTTTTATTTGGAGACAGAGTCTCCATAAATTGTAAAGGCTGGCCTCAAATTTGTGATCCTCCCACCTCAGCCTCTTTGGTCCGGGATTGATTATAGGCATGCACCACTGTGAACAGCTAGCTCAGTGATTTTAAAGGGGTAATAAAACCTTCTTAGACATCTTTAGTTCTTTCTAAAATAAAAGAACCGTTAGTTATAATGATCGAAAATAAAGACCTTGGCTGAGGTTATAGCTGAGTGGCGGAACGCTTGCCTAGCATGTGTGAGGCACTGGGTTTGATTCTCAGTACTGTATATAAGCAAATAAAATAAAGATCCATCAACAACATACACGTGTGTGTGTGTGTGTGTACCTTTAAAAAAATAAAGACCTTAGTGATTATAGTCATTAAGTATAAGACAAGGAACTTTTTGGAAAATCTTAAAAAGGCCAAACTAATTCTGGAAGAACATCAAAGATCAAAAAGGTGGGCTGGGGCTGTAGCTCAGTGGTAGAGCGCTTGACTAGCATGTGTGAAGCACTGGGTTTGATCCTTAGCACCACATAAAAATAAACAAAATAAAGGCATTCTGTCCATCTACAACTACAAAAAAAATTAAAAATAATCAAAAGGTATTGACAAAGAAGGAATAGCTTTTATTGTTGCCTGTTACTAGCAAAAAAATACATGCTACTTGATTGATTCAAGTTTGAAGGAGAATGTGGTAAGTGAAGGAGGTCCCTAGTTTCTGCACAGTTATTAGAGTTTTGTAATCCTGGACATAGAATGAATGCTCAAGCTCTTAGACCTCATGAAATAAAATTTTAATTACCACTTTTCCTGGAAGAATTTTGTAATCATTCCCTGAGAATCATCATAAGGCAGTGTTTTAATTTTACAATCTAAGCCTTTAAAATTGTTGAAAACTTAAATAAATGAAAAATCGTACCATTCGAGAGTTTTGCATTGTACCACGTCAGTAGTACCAGTATACCCTAGGAAACAAAGCTGACTAAGGATTAAGGAAATCCTTGAGGGGAGCTCAATTCAAGTTCATAATTTATTGCTAGAATTCTCTCAGATAAACCCGAGTCCTTTGATGTGGGGGAAAAAAAAGAAATCACGAATTTAAAAAGTACTCTTACTAAAATAGTGTCAAATAACCAATTCCATGAATGAGCTCAATAACTGATGGAGAGCTATGACATGTTTAAAAATGCATCAAGAGGGGCTAAAATTGTGGCTCAGTGGTAGAGCACTTGCCTGGCATGCGTGAGGCCCTGGGTTCCATCCTCAGCATCACATATAAATAAATAAGATAAAAGATCCATTTACAACTAAACCGCATCAAGAAGACATGATTTTCTTACCCAACCACAAATTGGAGATATCAAATACAAAGCATTTTAGAAACCAGAGGGGAGGTGCCAGGGGTCATGACTGGCTCTCCAAACAACAGTCCACTAAGGAATATTGTTTTGATGCAGCCCCTGAGAACAGAACTATGTAGACAGTGGCTCTGGTTATGGTGTTTAATGCACACGGTCAGTTACAGCCATGGCAGTGGGGCACTCTAGCTGAGAAGGGCCACTGAAGGGATCTACTGTTTTTTAGTATTTTATTATGGAATGATTTTCCAAAAAGTTCCTTGTCTCTGGCAGAGAATGGTGTTTTTAAGACTTGTTCATGCAAAAAAGACCGGGGACATGTACATAGCCCCATGACAAAGGCTATGAACTATTTTAGAAGACTGCGGTGCATCAATTATGTAACCTTTTCCAAGTTAGGAGATCAAATTTAAAAATGGAGCCAACATCCATTGAGCATCCACTAAACAAGATGGAATCTGTAAATTCGAGAGGGTTAGGCACCTGTTCCCACCACAAAATTAATATTTGAGATATTACTAGGAGGGAGATCTCTACTTAAGAACACTTGCGTTGTTGTTTCAGTTTTCCTTCCTGAATGCACGACTCAGCAGTCACATACCTAAGAGAAGCAATATTTAACCTTGACTTTTGTTTTCTCTTTATTCTAGAAGCCCCCGCAGCTTTCTGAGGATGATATCCAGCTGAAAACCGAGAGAGACAGCTGTCGTGCCAATCTCCTGGAGCCTGCTCCCAGACCTCTTCCCTCAGATCACCAAAACATGGAAATTGAGGTGTCTGTTACAGAATGTAAAAGCGTTCCTGGAATCACCTCTACCCCCCATTCCATAGACCACCCCTCCCCATTCTATTCACCCCCTCACAATGGCCTCCTCTCTGATCACCATGAGTCCCTGGATAATGATGTGGCCAGAGAGATCCGATATCTAGATGAGGTGCTGGAGGCCAACTGCTGTGATTCTTCGGTGGATGGAACTTACAACGGGACATCCTCCCCAGAGCCTGGTGTGGCCACCCTGGCTGGCAGCCTGAGCCCACCAGCCCACTCAGCCGCCCAGCCGGAGCCTGCCGAAGGAGCCGCGGGCAGGCAGGCCCCCCCGCACATCGAGCTCAGCAGAAGCCCCTCTGACACCATGGCTGAGACGGAAAGAGTGAATGGCCATCCCCCCGACCAGCCCCGGGACACGCTAGGGGACAGCCTGCAGGCCCCTGCCAGCCCCAGCTCCTCCACCAGCTCCCGCTGTTCTTCCCGAGACGGGGAGTTCACGCTCACCACCCTGAAGAAGGAGGCCAAGTTTGAGCTGCGCGCCTTCCACGAAGACAAGAAGCCCTCCAAGCTCTTCGAGGAGGACGAGCGTGAGAAGGAGCAGTTCTGTGTGAGGAAGGTGAGGCCCTCGGAGGAGATGCTGGAGCTGGAGAAGGAGAGGAGAGAGCTCATCCGGAGTCAGGCGGTGAAGAAGAATCCCGGCATCGCTGCCAAGTGGTGGAATCCCCCGCAGGAGAAGACCATCGAGGAACAGCTGGACGAGGAACACCTGGAGTCGCACAAAAAGTACAAGGAGCGCAAGGAGAGGAGGGCCCAGCAGGAGCAGCAGCAGCTGCAGCAGCTGTTGCAGCAGCAGCAGCAGCAGCAGCAGCAGCCCCCTCCAGAGCTCTGCACAGCCCCTGCTTCCACTCAAGAACGTCCAGGCGGGACTGAAAAGGAGGACATTGTCACAGAACAGATTGACTTCTCTGCCGCTCGCAAACAGTTCCAGCTGATGGAGAATTCCAGGCAGACGGGGACCAAGGGCCAGAGTACACCCCGGCTGTTCTCCATCAAGCCTTTCTACAGGCCTCTGGGGTCCCTCCACTCTGACAAACCCCCGACCATCCTGAGACCGGCTTCTATTGGGGTAGCTCCAGAGGACAGCTGCGTGTCTGCAGCCCAGGGGCAGAAAGCCCCCGGGACGCTGGAGAGCCAGTCGGCGGGAGGAGGCCCTGGCAGCACCGCCCCTCAGGGAAAGGAAGGGCCCTACAGCGAGCCCTCCAAACGGGGGCCCTTATCTAAACTGTGGGCCGAGGACAGTGAGTTTACCAGCGCCCGGGCCGTCCTCACCGTGGTCAAGGATGATGAGCACGGCATTTTGGATCAGTTCTCCAGATCGGTCAATGTCTCTTTGACCCAAGAGGAGCTTGACTCAGGTTTGGATGAGCTGTCGGTGAGATCCCAGGACACCACGGTCCTGGAGACCTTGTCCAACGACTTCAGCATGGACAACATCAGTGACAGCGGGGCGTCCAACGAGACAGCCAATGCCCTCCAGGAAAACTCCCTGGCTGACTTCTCTCTGCCTCAGACCCCACAGACAGACAACCCCTCTGAGGGCCGAGAGGGCGTCTCCAAGTCATTTAGCGATCACGGTTTCTATTCCCCGTCCTCCACACTGGGGGACTCCCCGTCGGTGGATGAGTCCTTGGAATATCAGGCTGGTCTCCTGGTGCAGAATGCCATTCAACAAGCCATAGCCGAGCAGGTGGATAAGGCCGCGCCCCAGGCCAGCAAGCCCGGAGCAGAGCAGGGGAGACCTGACACAACCCTCGAGGGAGCTGACACCGGAGTTGCTGGCCCCGAGAAGCCCCAGAGCATGTTTGAGCCACCTCAAGTTTCCTCTCCTGTTCAAGAGAAAAGGGATGTATTATTACCAAAGATTCTGCCTGCAGAGGACAGGGCTCTCAGGGAAAGGGGGCCCTCCCAGCTACCGCCAACCGTGCAGCCCAGTGGCCCAGTCAACATGGAGGAGACCAGGCCCGAGGGGGGCTATTTCAGCAAGTACTCGGAGGCTGCCGAGCTGAGAAGCACAGCCTCCCTCCTGGCCACTCAAGAATCCGACGTGATGGTTGGGCCCTTCAAGTTGAGGTCAAGGAAGCAGCGGACGTTGTCCATGATCGAAGAAGAGATCCGAGCAGCCCAGGAGAGGGAAGAGGAGCTGAAGCGGCAGAGACAAGTCTTGCAGAGCGCACCGAGCCCCAGGACCAGGAACGCCCCGTCGCTGCCCTCCCGAACCACGTCCGGCTACAAAACCGCCCCAGGTAAGTGGAGGCTGCCTCCTGCACTCGGGCACGCGGGAATCTGATTCAACATGGGATTTTCCGTGTGGAGCCTCCGCTGCGCGTGTTGGCAGGGGGCACTGGCATGAGGCTCTCGGCGCCAGGGGGGTCAGAGTGCCCTCTGGAGGAACCTGGAGCCCCGATGGTGTCTCCCACTTCCCAGCAGAGGTGGTAGCTCCTCGCCTGTGGTTCCATCTTGTTCTTGGCTTATTACACAAAATCGTTTTCTGTTATCGGAGGGGCAGCCTCTTGGCAGGGATCGGGTCGTATATGGCACAGAACCCGTCAGGGTGGGCCCACCTGTGGACTGCATGAAGTCAGTAGCTTGACCTTCAATGACTCGAATGAAATCAAACCTATTCGATTTGGGGGGACGTGCTCTGCTAACCCTCAGGGGTGTTGGGTCCCTTCCTAGAAGTCCTAGTTGCGAGTCAGTGTTGCAGACTGACCCATGGAGGACGTCTCTCTCCATCTTCTGGGCGATCGGATTTGACTTCTCTTACGTCACCACAAATCAGTTATAGGCGTGAACAGCTTGATGACAGTCAATAGCAGACTGGTATGTGCCACGGTGGTTCCACGAGTATCTATCACCTGGTGACATTGTAGCCGTTTCTTGGGGTCAGTACCCTCTATGATGTTCACACAGGGATGAGGTGACTTAACAGTGCATTTCTCAGAATGTGTTCCCTGACCCTATGGGATGCATGCCTGTACTTTGGAACCCGGAGTGGTCTCATCCTATTTAGAGGGATTGAGTTAGGGTAAGCAAAGGCTGGCCTTCAGTCTCCTCCTGTTGTTTTCCCCACCCCCACCCTCCGCAGTCCCTTTCTCGAATAGATGGTGTAGATGGTTGATGTTAGTTAGGGTAATTGTTGTTGCTCCTGTTATGGGTAACAGTGCATGTGAATTTGATGGGAATTGGGGACCCATGCAGTTTTTCTTAGAGAAGAGCTGTTCCTATGTCTTCAGTCCGTGCTGAGATCAGTGCAGACATTGATAGATACAGCATTTGAAAACTCCTGAAGCAATTTTCTATCGTCCTGAAATCCAAATGTGGGGTTTCTTATTTACAAAAATATTGATCCACAACGGACTGGAAGCGGGAGGGATGGGTCCTTTGCCAGAGATAATTTTAGAAGCATTACTTTAAAGTAAAATTGTCCACCGAGATCTTAAGTCATCTTGACGCTTGGCCTCCATTGCATCTGTTATGACGCAAAGTCACGCTTCAGTATTTTTAAATTTCGAAACCACTTCAAACCTTAAGAAAAATTCCCAAGTACAAACATGTTTCTAAGAGTAGATTGCCAACACGATGCCCTATGAACCCCAGTTTTGTAAAATGCCCCTCAGTTTGGGCCTTTCCCATGATGACATTCAGGTTGTGTGCATCTTCGGTAGGAACATCATATATTTGGTGCTGCATCCTCACTGTCTCCAAATAGGTAGTAGCTGGTATTAGTGTGTCCCATGTCGGGGGCAGCTTTTAGCTCTGATCATTTAATATTATGATTATTATTTTGGTGGTGCTGGGGATCGAACCCAGGGCCTTGTGCATGTGAAACAAGCACTCTACCAACTGAGCTGTCTCTCCAGCCCTCATTTCATATTATTTTTGATCTCTTTGGTGAGGGAAAAGCTGCGAGGCTTCCACACGGTAAAGATACCTTTTTCCATTTCCTTTGTGGGAGATACTTTGATTCTTTTCCCCCACTCCTCTCAGATGTTAAATCTATTACTTATATGTCAGTATGGTCTTATGGAAAAGTATTACATTCAATAATTCAATAATTTATCATCTATTTCTTGTTTTGTTTTGGTACTAGGGATTGAACCCAGGGGCACTCTAACCACTGAGCCACATCCCCAGCCCTTTTTATTTTTTACTTAGAGACAGGGTCTCACTAAGTTGATTAGGCCCTTGCTAAGTTGCTGAGGCTGGCCTTGAACTTGCAATCCTCCTGCCTCAGCCTCCTGAGTGGCTGAGATTACAGGTGTGGGCCAGCACGCTCGGCTCGTCTATTTCTTTTCTCAGTTTGTTCAGAAAGCTCTCACGGGAGTCCTTTCAGGCCAACTTCAGTGTCCTTTTGAGATGTCCTCATTCTTTGAGCATCACCTTTTAAGGATGTTCTAGTTTCATCTTATGCTTTTCCAACCCTGAAATCATTCATATCTTCAAAGAGCACTTGCTTCTTTTAGCAGAGAATGGTATTTAGAAACCAAGGTCTGGGTATCGGGTGTGCTCAAGCGAATTGTCGCTGCTCCCAGGTACCCTCAGTGGACAGATTTAAAGATCAATCGATCTATCTATCTATCGAACCCCAAGTTAACTCTGAGATATTTCAATTCTATTCTGGTACAAGATTCATTCATGTTTTCTTCCTTTTCATATTTATAGCCTCCTTCTTGATAACAAAATGCTTTGATTATTCCAGTTATCCTCAATATGTTCATTACTTGGTTAATCCCCCATCCCCACCATATAGCCAGTCTCCCGTTTTCCTCTTCAAACTTTGGTACCAACATCACTTTCTGGATGGCCCCTGCCCACCCCTTCACCACTACCTCCTTAGCCCACTTGGGCTCCAACACTCCCTAGGGAGTCACTGTTGTGCTCTGCCCACCTGCATTGGCACATCCCTCTAGGCCACTGTAGCTTCTCCACCCCCACTGCAGGCAACACCTAATGTTGGGCTGAATTGTCTGATAAGGGAAGAAGAGGAGCACAGGGACCTCCTTCAGGTCATGGCCACAGAGCCAGATGAGTGCTTGAAGCAAGGAGAATTTTGAGAGAGGAGTTTTTGTCCAGGCTTAAGAGTGACAAGTCACCTTTTTGCAAAGATTCTTAGTTGTCAGGTTTACTTGAAAATTTTTAATTGTGACCTGGCTTGGTACAGAGATATCTGTTGCGCATCCTGTCCTGGAAAAACGTCTTTTGTACCAGCTTGGTTTCAGCCCAAGCTGGAGAGTCAACTACATGAGTAAGTGATATTAAGGGAACTTGAAGTCTCACTGATGGAGGAAAGTTCTTTGGGCACCTCTACTCCTTCTGCTCACCTGAAAAGCAGGTACCATGGTTCTCCTACACATACCAGTTCGAGCTGGCTCTGCCCTCTTTTGCACTATTTTACTGGAGAACCTACTCTAATGCACATATGACCAGCACTCTATTAGTCTATTCAGATTGCTATAATAGAATACCATGGACTGAGTAGCCTATAAACAACAGAAATTCATTTCTCACAGTTCTAGAGGCTGGGAAGTCCAATATAAGGTGCCAACAGATTTGATGTCTGGTATTTCCTGGTTCATAGATGGCATCTTCTCTTGGTGTCCTTGCATACTGAAAGGGAAGAAGCAGTCAGCTCTGTATGGCCTCATGCATAAAGGCTCAGCCTTCAGGGTCTCATCACCTCTGAAGGTCCCCACCCTGTTGGTAATTAGGCTTCAGCATATGAACTGGAGAGGGGAGCACAAACATTCAGACCATAGAGGGGTGGGTATTTTGATTTTTTTTCTACTCCATCTCTTAATTGAACACTCACCATATTGCCTCCCAAATTACTTCTAGCATGTAAACAGTTGCCTGATATAAAGACATTTCTTGTCATCAAGCTTTCCCACCAGGATTGAGCTGGCCTTAAAACAAGTCAGGGCTTAATGTTGGCACCTGGCATCCAGCAAACCAGGACCACTTTTCCCACAGCTTCTCTCCATGCTAATGCTGATCTCCTTTCCCAAGTCTCACCCCCACAGGATAGATTTTGGTCCCTTTAGGAAGATAGTAATTCATCTGTGTAAGTCTGCACTCTGTCCTGGTCTGGTTGTCACATTGAACACAGTCACCATTATGACATGTGTGCCCCTTATTCCTCCATGCTTATTTCGAGAACATTTAAAGAAGATACCAGTCTTCCCAGAATTACAACATGGATAAAAAGAAACTGAATGCAAATGCAATTTTTTTTCTGTCCATGCCTGGAAACCTTTGTAGTTTTGCTTGCCAACCAACCTCCAAGTTTGAGATGAAGGAGGAAGCTGACACATTAGTCTGAGAAGTCAAACTGAACAATCCATGGCCAGGGTCAGGACCGCTGGCTCTAACTTTGGTTTTGTGAGAGGTATTGCTAAGTCCCTACAGCACTGCTTTACACTTCCTGCCAGAAGAAGTGACTCAGTGGTTTGTTGTGTGACTCAGATTGATGATTCAGTATTAGGTGACGAAAAATATAATTTCTAACTTCTGGTAGAAATATGCTGGAATCTTAAAACTTTAAGGCAGATAAAATTTACTGATATCAAGATGCCAATAAGAAGAGATGTACGAACCCTTCCCATTGAAAAATTATCTAGACACAAACCCTATTCCCTTTAGTGTCAAACAGATTTGGTTTTGCTTTTAGTTTGTTTTGTTTTGATTCTTAGCTTTAAAGGATGGAGAATGATAGGAGTTCTATTTTGATATAGCCATTTTCAAAGACTCTCTGTCTGGAATGTCCATGTTGTTGGCTCTCATCTGACTTTTAAAGGAAGGAGAGCCATTGAAATGGAATTGGAGTGACATTTGTTCATAAAAGGTAAACAAGGTGGGCAGTCCCTGCCCTTAGGGAAGTTTTGGTTCAGTAAAGGAAATGACAGCAGCACAGCGACTGTATGTCAGAGAATCAGGGGGACTGGTGGGAACACAGAACAAACAGTATATCCTCATATCCTCATTTGGAGGAAAGGGAAAGTCTTCTTTCCTTGGGGAAATAACCATCTAAGCTGAGAATTGGAGGCAAAGAGGTTGGGCTGAAGGGAGTGGGATAGATTGCTCCTAGAGAGGTTCAAAAGGAATCGAGAACTTGGCACACTTGAAGTATGTAAATCAGGCCAAGGTAGGTTAAAGGAAGAGTTTTGAACAAAACACAGATTGATTTGGAGCCAGGTAACAAAGAGCTACATCAATCCCATTAAAGGTTTTAGACTTGAAACTTTAT